ATTTTTTATTTCTCTCTCTCTCTCTCTCTCTTCTCACGGTCACTGCACAACGACTATGAAGCACAATGTATACCATAAAAAGATTGAGCAAATGGTTACAAAGAAGAGAAAAAAAGAAAACTACAGCTAGAATAAAAAAAACTGTGTGTGCAACTCAACCCAACAAGTGCCACCCAACAAAAGGTTAACGCATATATAAAGCATTTTAAATTGAGTTGGAACAATGATCATAATCATTGCCATCCTTTTATTATATATTAGAAATGGCTGACTCAGTTAAACTTTCGCTCTCTCAGTCCCATTTTTATTTCCAAAATGATGACATTTACGAGGACGACAACGACGGCGGCGGCAAGGATGCGTGTAATTCTTTTTTTCGTTCGTGCATTTATGGAACAAATACAACTCATTTGCATATTGCCATTTTTTCGCGCACACTGCAATGGGATCATTTCAAGAGTTTTAACATGCAAATCAAGTGCATTCTTCATAGCAAATTAGTATGAGAAACAAGCGAGAAAAAAAGCACACACTTTTTTCTGTATCTTCTCACATAATTTCACCTCTTTGATGGGTGCAACGGCGGCAGTGGCGCTGGCCAAAAGCATCTCAAATTTTCGCCATAGAGAAATCTATATGAATATCATTAGCACTTTTTGTTGCATGCAACATGATGCGTTGAAAAAGACGAAAGCAAAAACACAGATGAATACAAATCTAAATGTGAATTAGTCTTTTGCGTCATTCATGTGATTATCGTTCAAGTGAATGTTGTTTTGAGCAAAAAAAGAGGGCTTTTAGAGAAACTCTCAACTCTACACATGTATACAGTGTGTAGAACCAGCACAATTGAAATATATATGTTTAGTTCTATAGAATTTCATGTAGTCGATTTAACATGGCATCCCAAAAAAAGGCGGCACTCATATTATATAAAACGAGTGGAATACACATTTCCTGTCTCTCTATCTCGGTGTATAGCGATTTTTAGATATGTTATGGCATATTTCAAAATGAAGTTTTCCATCGCATATCAAAAGTTGTCGCACACTGTACAGCACAGCATATACTTGACACAATCATCAAAGAGGGAAAAACTCGCTCGTTCGCTCTCTTGAAGTAACTGGGTCTCAAGTGCATACATATTTCCATCAAATGCAAAATTCCCATGTATGCATAGCACATCATTTTATCCCTATTCCGTATTCACCAACGCCATGAAACCTTATCAAACCCGAAGTTTTTTTCCTTCCACTCTATCTTCCTTGGAGAATCTTGAAATTTTCATTTGTCAAATGTTAATGACTCAATCTGAGTGAAAAATTATTCATTATTTAATTCCATTGATATTTTTTTTCGCTCTCGCTCCTCGCTCTCTCCACTTCTTTCATTTATCATCAAAAGTTTTATAATTTGTAAATCAGATCTAACATTTTTTTCTCTCTTCTGCTTGCATTTGCATAGCCAGAGAGAGAGAGAGAGACAGTGTATGAATTATAGTGCAGTTTCTGTACATATATTTGAGGACCCAATTTAATGACATCTCCGAAAAGATTCCGCAAATTACACAATTATTATTTGCACTATCAAAACGAAAAGTTTTCGCTTGAGCAAGAGCACGAGAGCGAGAGCAAGAGAAAGACAGAAGCTATGAAAAAATGCTACAGGAAGAACCGTACTTTTCTCTATCTCGTCTGTGTATATATGTTGATGTCATTCTGTCGCTATAAATTCCAACTCTAAGGAAAAACGATTATACAACAAGAACTGCACTCGTATAATGGATAATAAATTAGATTGTTTTCCCGGACAATTCTCTCTCTTGTGCTTTGTTTTTCTGGACCCGGCGTGTGTATAAGTATGCGATCATTGGGCTAACTAAGCTGAGGAGCAGTTTTCTCTCTTGCTTTCGCTTGCTCACTCGCTCGCTCGCTCGCTCGTTGTTGCTCTGGTTCGATGGCATCCAGCGGAAATGATGAACAATGCCACCGAAAAACTATTTTTCCGGCCCAAGCCATATACAACGAAAAAAGAAAATCTCATTTCATTATTTGTGTGTATGTTAGCCTCAATGTTTTATCTCGCTTGCAACGCACGAAAAAAAGTATCACCGAAAATTTAGATCCATTTGTGAATGTGTGCCTACGAAAATAAATATTTGCTTTTCTCATGGCGAAGCAGCAGCAGCAGTGGCAGTCTAGTTTTCTTTAGCCACTAATTCCCAGTCTCCGGTCCTCGGTTCAGTACAACTGAATCATTTTCAGAGTTGAAGTGAACGAGAGCGAGAAAAAAAAATGTTTGTTATCGAAAAATATTTGCTCGATTTGATTAAATTCTGAAGTTTGCATTGGGAAAAAATAAATATTTCGATGACTTCATCGAGCGGAAATTATTTAGACAGAGCCAGAGAGGGAGAGACACAAGAACGAGACAAAAAAAAAATAGTAGCAGCAACAACCATTGGTGAACATGAATCTGCATAGTAATTCAATTTTATGGCGAACAGAGAATCGAAAACTTTTTTTTTCGTCCGTTTTTCTCTGCCATCTAGTGCAAATATTTCGTCCGAATGCCATTGTTTTATGTTGGCATTTGTGGCTGAGCGCGCGCACACACACACTCGCTGCCCCGAAACATTCTTCGTTGGGCATTTGGTGACGATGCAAACCATAATAAATAGTTTTTATGTACTTCGACACACATAAAAATCACTGACATTACCATTGTGCATCGCAATGGTCTCACTCTCTCTATCTGGGTATCTAAGCCCAAGCGATTCCGACCAATTTTTTTTATACCAACTTAATTAAATAGAGTTTATGCGATTGGGTCAGTTTTATTGATTTTCATCACAACAGCACAGAAAAAATTGCAAAACTACAGAATAAAAAAAAAACAACAGAAAATCGTACAACTCAAATCAAACAAACCCCCAGATTAATTATTCAAGTAATCTCAGTTAATTACCTTGAAGATAAAATTATTAATGGATTTCATGTCGTTGCGCGTCAAATATGAATAAATCACTTTTTTGGACTACAACTTGTGTTTTTTTCATCTCTTGGAGTATGAAAAATGGAAAAGTAGAGAAAGAGACAGAAAACAAACTCTTCTCTTGATAATTTGCATATCAAAATAATGGAAATCCTTTTTCTTCGAGCATATTCGTGTTAAGCATCGCATCGAAATTGTGTGCTCAATCGTCATAACAGTTTTACAGTGAAAACTTTTTTCGTGCTTTTCCGATTTTTTTCTTCGCACATACACACACACACACAGTTACTTTTTTTAATGACAAAAACTTTTTCGAATTCATCGTTGCTTCTTCTTCAGCGAGACAGAAACAATAAAAATGGGGAAAGCTTTAAGTTGAAAGAAAAACGACATACAGAACACGAAGAAAAAAAAACCAACCGTACACAAATTTGCATACAAAACATTCGCATTAATTTTTGTGTTCGTCTATATCTGTGTCTCACTCTCGGACCCCGGTATGTGTTCGACTCCAGCGGTTCGTTTGCTTGAAACGTCATTTGCATCGTTTCTTTTTTCATTCTCACTTTTTTTCCCTCACACTCACTCTCTTTCTGCCCCACACCCTCATACACACCGAATTCTCTTTCCTTGCTCCCTCTTTCGTCTGGTTTCAGTCATTTTTTGCTGCTAGTTTATTTAATTTTGTGCTTCGTTTGTTATCTGTTTGTTTATATCATTTCTTCATTCAGTCCAAAACAGGAGACACACGCAGACCGCGCCAACACAGCGTAAGATATTGCTTTGATGCGGTAGTACTATAAATACCCCAAAGTAACTAAACACACACAAACACACACACACACACAACGGGAGCGAATCTTCTAACGAAATCAGCAAACAAACAATATTAAATTCAAAGAATACTTATGAATTAATTTAATTTGAAATACCTTGTCTTGGTTGCCTGAACAACGCTGCGAAGTTTTTTTTTTCTGCAGCGGCCATGGTAAAAATAATCTCACACACAATCTTTTTACCATCTATTTGTTGAACCACTTTTTGAAGTGAAATGTGTACTCTTGCACCATGAAAATTGCAAGCGCAAAACATTCTTCGCAGACAATTGCATGAGGAGAAAAAAAAATCCCGTTGAAATTAGAACTGGGCTTCATTACCAGTTCTCAATTCTTTAGTGCATTGTTTGACAGTTGCATTTACTACAAAACCAACTAAAAAAAATTGGAACGAAACCTTTCAGAACAGACTCACAAAACAGACGGAATTTATTCAAACGCCGACGAATTCGAAATACAACAAGAGAGAAAAAGAATGTGTCCAAGAATAAGTAGTTTGCATCGTGAGTATAACTTTTCATGTTCCAAAAAGACTTGATTCAAATTTTGTTTGCATTCGTTTTGCGCTGACGTTCAAATTCTCCGATTCAGTCATACTCTCTCCAAGTCTCCTCTCCATCTGCGTTTCCTCAATCGAGCGAAAACTTTTATGCTTTGAGCAATTCAATGTTTTCATTGGATTTTACAGATAGTTTTACTCTATTTGGCCCAGCATCCCCGATGGAGAATGAGGGAGACGACGGACGGTTTGTGTTTGCGCAAAAATTTTAAATACACAAGTCACAAATGACCAGGACCGGAAAATTTTCAATTAATATGCATGTACAAATTAGTACAAATTAGCATTTATTCATTTCTTGAAACTATTACAAGCCACTGTTTGTGATGTCATGGTGATGCAGACAAAGTCCAAAAAAAACCCATACACATAATCTACATTTTTATTTAATTGGGCATTTGTCAAAATGAATATACATCTTTGACGGGGCGAAAATGCACACACTAAATATGTCCATTTGAGAGGATCGTTCTGCCATTCATGGCCATTTATCTCTATTATGTTCACTCGCTTTTTTCTCTCGACTCGGCACATGCAAACAGTGCCTGACTGGTGAGTGTTTGTGTAAAAATTTGCGCAATGCGCGCTAGCCTTTGGCAATTTTTGATCTGTCTAATGATGACCGTGTACAATGGCTACTTTCGTTTTCGGTGGAAGAGAGCAAGAGAGTGAATGAGACACAGAACGCGTTCGTTTGTGGCATTTGCCGTTATTTTTCTTGTGCGCCCATGCACAACCGTTTGGAATGACCGGAACGCGTCATTTTATTTCTCAACACTAATTTTTCATCAGCGCGCATTTTATAAGTTGGTGCATGTTTTGGTTCATGGCAATTTGTCAGTTAAACAAAGCGGTTTTCCTTTTTATCGCACTGGATCACCATACATCAAACCAGCTCTCGAACGATGGTGGCAAGCAGTGGGAGAAAAAAAACGCTATAGTTATTATAAGAAGCAACCATAGGAAAAGTATCCAATCATAAGACGAGATGAATGTGCAGTTCGGCAAATGTGGCCGCCAAAGACTGAAAGGACAGAGACTGAATGAAAGAACGACACAAATACACACGCACACTGAGGAAGAAATGGAAGTAATGCGACTATGTCTATATGCATTGTATACACATTTGAATTTTGACTTTTACCAATTTATCCACTTATCCGTCAGCATTACGACGCATAAAATGGTGCTGTTACAAATACGTGTTTGGAAAGCCATGTATGGTGAAAAATGGCTCGTTCAAAAAACGAACTGGACTTTATTTTCGGGAAATGTTCATCGAATCGTGGCACGATCAAGCAACAGCAACAGCAACAGCAGCATCAGCAGCCACAACCAAACGACAAATTCATTTCGGCTTTATTATGATATACGCAAAAGAAAGAATGTTTGTCAAAAGGAAAATGCTTTATATGCATTAAAAAGATGGAGAATGAGGAACAGCACACGCAACCACACACACACACAGAAAGAGAGAGAGAGAGAGAACCATTGCCCAAATATTATATTTCACTGTTTTATTACATTTATTAAGTGAGATAGATGGTCAAAAAGGGTTTATTTGTGTGTGATTAATGAAGACAAATTTGTGTTTGACTATATTTAGCAAATGGGCCGAATGAGAGAGAGAGAGAGAGAGATGTGCTAACACAAACACACACATACGCGCGCGCAAATACCAAATATATACATCCAAATGCTGCGTTTAATGGATTTACTTGGTTTTATTTGGCTTGGCTTGCCTTGAATCTTTCTTTTTATTTTTCGTTTCCTCTTCTCATGTGCGTGCGTTTTTGCTGAGCAAGATGAAGAAGGTCATTTTAATTGATGGAATTGAGCTCGCATGGACGAAGTAAGCTTCAAATGAAACAAACGAGTCTTACGATTCGAGCTAAAGAGAATATATTGGATTTTCATCAAATCCATTTATTAATTGATGCTCATTTGCTACAATGTTTTATTATCATAATCATTGAGCTTCCCAATCGAAAGCCGCCTCGCGCAAATAAAATATTCGGGAATCCATCCATGGCACAGATTCATTTAGTGTGTCGATCAATTATTCACGAGCTAATAAAAATAAATACGACGAATATAATCATCATGCATATTTACATTCCTTTTTTTCCTTCAACATCTTCAATTTTAATTATCGCAAAACTGGCGTAATAAAAACGAATGCATAAAGGGTCTTCTTCCCTTGTTGGAAAATGAACGCATAAAATGTATAAAATGTCGAAAGCCGACTTACAAATCGGAATTATTTCGTCTTAAAACGTCTGGGAAAGGAATCAAACTCAGACATTTCTGCATTTTATCAAACGATGCAAAAACGTGAGCAACACGAAAAAAACACCAGCTCATGAGCGCACATTATGTAAATTTAATGAAGAAAAGGAAAAGTATCGTTCTACCGTGTCGTATCGCTTTTTGCTCTCCATTAAATTTTCACTATTCGCAATGAGATGCAGAGAGAGAGAGAGAGAGACACACACAGACGACACACCGAGCAGGTGAGAGCACATACAACGGATACATTTTAATCTACTTTGATTCAATTTTGTGAATGTGTCTGTGTTTACAGTGCGCGCAAAATACATCATTCCCATTCTTGGAATGGAAAATCGTGCGCGCTACCGTAGTAAGCATTGCACTGAGTAGTAATCTTCTTATCGTCACGGCTGTATTTTCGATGTCTACAAGAAGTAGAGAGATAATTAGCAAATGCTATGTATATCGAATTTGATATTGCTACAGACAGTTCATGCTTAACGAGACGTTGTATAGATTTTGTGATGGCAAAGATGCGATTTACGTGGAACGTTTTTGATCAATGCTCGATGATGTTTGTGCAAAGTGAACATGATACAACACGGAGCGTGCATAGGGTGAAAAAAGGAGTGCTTCCGCTAGAGATTGCATAAATCATGGTGTCGATACATTTTGCCGGCAACGGCAAAACCCGAACCAATTAACCTGAATAAACGGGCGAGAACGAGTAAAATTACGAATGTCGACCGAAAACAAACTTTCTCCGCACAAACACACACATTCACGGTGACACCAACAACGGAATGAAACAGAAAAAAAACTATTATTATCAGTGCCAATGCTTTCATTTAATTCCAAACAAGAGCAAACTACGATAAAATTGAAATAAATCTTAATTAATGCAGGCACGGAGAATTTATAGCATAGCGTGGAAATTTTCGCGTTCAGAAATGAGGCGCTCGCGTCCTATATGTGTGTTAGTGAAAAGTGCAAAATTCGCACCGTTGTCTTTCCATTTCAATGCTTTCTCGATATAATTCACGCGCGTGTAAGTGTTTGAGGATCGAAGGAGGCACGAAGTGTCTGCACACAGCAGCGGCATTTTGTTTCTCGTTCAAGATGATATCATGCTGAACTTCGGCTTTGGCATCGCAAGCGATAATTTCGGTGCCGTCCTTCAAATTTGCATGAATTATGCGAAAACACGAATTTCAGCTGGCTCCTTATGGTTGCTGAAACCAATTAACATCTCTTCTCGCCCAGATACTTGCTCTCACATCCACTTACTCACTATCTCTCTCTCTCTCTCTCGCTCTCTCTCGCTCGCTCGCTCGTCGAACTGATGCCACAACACGAATAAATTTTCCTCAAACCACCTGAATTCGCACATCGTGTTTTTGTTGCTGCTCATCTACATCTTTTTGAGCTTAGTCATGCATGAGAACAACTGCAACAAAAAAATCATTTGATCTCATTCCACAGTTAACTTTTTACTACAGTGCTGCGCTGATGCTGGCGAAACTTCCAGGGAATATTGTAATATATATCGCATATTCAATGCAAACTCATTACAATTCAGATGAATCGTGTCGGACTGAAAATTTCCGTGCCAATCTTTGGCTCAAACAAAGACAAACAAAGGATAATTAGACGAGATCAGAACCAGAAGAAGAAGCCCTTTTTATGCGGAAATTGAAGCTGTAATATATTGCGACTAGTATTTTCTTTTCTTCTTTAACTGTGCACTTTACGCAGACAATTTATAGTTAAATTTGCATGCTGTTACTTTTCTGCGGATGGCTTCAAATCCCATCCGAAAAACGCTCAAAGCATTGAATTCCAAGTAGTGTGCACCCGAATACCGGATTTATGCCTTTTTTCTACTGCGTCAATCACAATTAAAAACTTTGCAATTTTTCGGTGAAATAAGCAAAACTCAGTTAAACACACATAAACGGTCAAATGAACGAACGAACTTTGAAACCGAAAGCTCTGTAATTTTATCTCCCTTTGACAAGCGTAAAATAAACAAATTCACACGCATACAATAATAATGAAACTAAAATAATGGGAAAATTTATGAAAGCAAACGCAGCCAGCAAGATGCCGTTGCCAAACTTTTTAATAAAATTGTTCGATTTCTTTTGTGCAAAAGTAGCAAGAGGAAGTTGTTACGTTGCCTCTGGTTGCGAAATGCAACAACATTTTCTTGTGCTCCGACCAACTGAGCGTGAAAGAACGAGAGAGAGAGAGAGAGAGAGAGAGAGAGAGAGAGAGAGAGAGAGAGTGAGAGAGAGTGAGAGAGAGCACAACCAGAGTAGAAATGTGAAACACTTAACTATGCACAACTATGTGGCAACACTTTGATCATTGAATGTGCTTTACTTATTCGAAAATGTGAGAAGAATGGCAAACAGAACAAGTGGCAAAGAGAGAGAGAGCGACTGAAGCACATGGCTCATACGATTTCGTGCTTTAAATTGTAAAATTATAAATGCAGCAAATGCAACCGACCGACCCGCTCCACCAGATACACACTCACATAGTAACATTGTACAGACAACGCGAATGCTACGATTTTCCGCCACTAAGTTTTAATATTAAATTGTTGGTGTTGCAATGCTCGAGTGTGCGCTCGCGTTCGTTCTTCTTCATTTCAGAATAATTTTCCTACTGACTTTGCCCGAATACAATGTGACAAAAATTAAATAATCGCGCATAGTTATTTACATACTCACAGGAACTTAACGCTGCACTTATCACCCGCCGACAGAGAAAAAAATTCTCCGAAAAACCGTCGGCAACTCAAGTGGCCTGTGACGAAGCAGCAACACTGTGCCCCAATTTCCAACATGTGTACCGAAAATGAAAAACAAAGCCAACAGTTTTGCAAACTTTCAGTGCAAATACATTTCAAAATTGATAATGCAGCAACACATTATGGCCTGAGACGCATAAAGCAGCGAGTTTATATTGGAATTCAGAGTAAATTGGATTCATTTAAAAGAAATGGAGTGCAAACAATATTTGCTCGTTCGCCCAAAATGGGGCGAAATTCAAATAGAATGAGCTGGCAAAACAAAAGCAGGCTATGCCTGAATTCAGACAAAGTGTTTATTTGCTAATGGTAAAATTCGCAATGTTTGCTTCGTCAATCAATTGATAAATCTCTTGTTTTATTGCTATTGCTATTTTGTAAGTAAATTTAATGATAAAATTCAGATTTGAAAAACGCGTCAATCAAACGTGATGTTGTGTTCGGTGGTGGAAAATCCATAATCCATAATCCATAATTCCATATTGTAATCCTGCTTTTAGCCGGTCGCATAATCATGTAACTCATTTCGAAAACAGAGATGGAGTGAGAGATAGAGAAAATGAGAGTCAGAGGCCCTCTCAACCATGCCAATTTACACTTGTGCTCTGCCGATGACGATATTTTTAATGGTGTGGTGAAGATTTTCCAGCCTGGCTGCCATGAGCAACGATGATGCTGTAGACAGACAAACATATCGGTCGCCGTAGTTCAGATTCTCTTTCAATAACCTTCACTGTTTTTATCGATCAATTTCAAGTAGAGATTATATGCGGGCGATAGCGTCATGTTGCTACCACAAACGACACTCAATATTTACCCCATCCAATTATCAGTTAGCTAATCTCTCGCACCAATGGTAATTTTCGTAGAAAATTCAACGCGGTGTGTTTGCCGAAGAAAGCTGGGGTGTGTATCCAACAATATCCAGCGTACAAATTCATCAACACAAATCTCATGGAGATGCGGTGAATTTTCTTTGATTTTATTTTTTCGGCGAAGGCGAGAAATGTCATAAAAATCTGGGTCGTAAAATGTTATAATATGAGCTCAGTGTATTTAAACATGCAGCACTACCAAGTGCGCACCACAGAGATAGTAGATCCACATTGACCCAATGTATTGGCATTGTTGGTTCCCCCATTGGATTTCACGGCAAACGAATGGACGGACACACACGAAGAAAAGGAGAAAAAAAATCCCCATAAAAATTCCGGTATTTGCACAAAATACACAAAAGCTCAAAGCACACTAAATTCAAATACTGAGAACGAGCAAACACAGAGCGCGAGAGCAGAAAAAAAGATTCCTCATTTCTATTCAACATCTTAATGCTGTAGTTTGTATGAATGTTACCGTTAGTTATCGTCTCTAGCCACAGTGAATGAGAACACACTGAGAAGGTATGGTTTTTTTTCTCTCTTCTGCTGCCGCAATTGTTTGTCAGTGGTTTGTTGGTGGGAAAAAAAGAGAGTGGAACAAAAATTCGGCCAAATCCTCATGTGATTTGTGTTATGAGATTATATGCGAGTAACATCGATAAAAAAAAAACGCAGATAGCATTTATGGATGAACGTTTTGTTATACTAAACGCTCTCGATTCTTTTTCCACATCGGTGCGAAGCTGGTGTATAGAGCTGAGCTAGAAAAAATACGTGCACGTGGACATAAAACCTGGAGAGAGAAAATGATGGGAAAAAAGGAAATTCAGAGTGAATGAAAGAAAATAGGAAAAATTCATAAAAAGCGAGCTGTATGAAAATCGAGCGCAGAAAATATTATGAGGTGATGCTGAGACCACATGTCAATTATATCGTTCACCACAGAAATGTCTCATTTTCGATCCAACTCTCGTTTATATTACGAACTCTATTCGCCTAATTGATTGAAGTTAAAATTGAGTCGATTGTGTTCGCGCGCAGCATGCTAACGCCGTTTTATCAACTAGTTAATGCCGATCGTTTGCTCCATAAGCCATTTTTATGCTACTGATTGTTGTGTAATGTGCTCTTGTTATGGTGTAAACTCTGACCACATGCATTTACCATACGCGCGCAGCAGCAACATCAACACCACCAACCAACAATATTCTCAACGGTCGACGACATTCTCATCGGTCTCCGTGGTGTGTGCCATATACGGAATTCCGTTCCATTCTCAAGCCATCTCATGTGAATCACACGCGCTTCCCTACCTCGCCATATATATTCTTGTTGTGTGTTCTTTTTTTGCTCGTTCACGGTGAGCGGGTAAAGCCAAGGGCAACATGCAACAACGCAACGTATTAAATGTGTATATGTGCTTATTGTCTAATAGTTTTATAGCGTGCACATTTTTTTCACAATTTCCATGGTCATAATGACTGCTGTGCTGCTCGCTTGCTTGCTTCCTTCGGCATGGGATGGATATTCATTGTGATTTCGCTCGTTATGCACTTTAAAATGGTGATCGCCTTGTTTAATTGATGTTACACTACAAAACGATTCGGAATGTGCGCCGTTTGTATCTCGGGTTTTTTTTCCCTTCATTTCAATGTGGCCGCTTCTCGGAAAATTTATTTCAAACATGTGCTCGCAAACGCATATTTGCAACGAACACATACCGAATAATTACTGCACCCCAAAAATGCCACTCTTGGCGATTGTGGTGAAAAATTTAGAAATGAAATGCGAACATGGCAAAGCTGGTTTTCCGACCAAGATTAATTACGCCATCCACAATACAAAATTCATACCATTTGTTTGTCTTATTTTTTTTTTGGATTTTGGTGCGTCTTGTTTGCCGATGGCCATTGGCCATGTGGTAAATCACCACCGGTGATGCATTTCAAAATGGTGCCCATCCGAAAGAAACCGACGCAAGAGTTTACACTCATTGCAGCGCTTGCTCGTGCAAATCATTTCACATTTAGAACAAAACAAACATAGGTTGCTTCAAACAACTTGCGTTTGCTGAACAGCCAAACCGGGAACTGTTTTGGATGAGCACGCTGCTGTTTTATTTGAATTATTACATTGCAAATGGATTTCAACAGTCTTAATAGAATCCATTGACAAAGTGAGTTGCACGAAATTGCAAGAGCAAAGAAATCTTTTCACTGTTTCACTCGTGTGGATTTTGATTTCTCTTTCAAAATTTCATTTTCTCATAATTCAATTGTTGTTCATACGGTGAATCACATGTTGGAAAATGCGCGCTCGTTCTTCTTTTGCCATCAAAACACATCGCAATGTGATTTCGTGAAAGCCCTGACACAATGCATCATCATCGTTTCAACAAACTCGAGACAAGACACCGTCGTCTCGATAATATATTTATATGTTGGCCGACTGAATGAACCATTCCATGAGGTCATGCGCACTGAGCGCAAACCGTTCCAGGGAAACGTTGCGAAATGGAAATTCTCGCTAACATTGCGAAAACATTGGCTCGAAACACTTCAATGGGAACGTTTCTTGCTTCTCCTTCCATTTGGAATGTGTAGCCGCCAAATTTTCGACTCGGAACCATGCAGACGTGTTGGTTACCGATGGAATGCTTGGGTGAAAATCAACTGGCAATTGCTCCATAATGAAAAACGCAGCGAATTCGATTCCAATGGAAAACCGACGAGCGCGCGCACACAGAGCAGAGGAGACGAATGCGTTTTGGTTTGTGTGTCAGCAGAGCATAGGCACATGGATGTGGGAAAATATTTGTTGAGAGAAGAAAAAAAGAATCACTAGACAAACATTGCGAATTCCATCCAACATTGATGTGAACACATGCGAATTGAGCGAGAGAGCATTGTGCACTTTTGCTTCGTATCGCACGCAATAGTGATTCAGTTGATGTCAATGCGGCCAAACCTCATGTTCATACGCGCTCTCTTACCCATTGTGTACTCTACTGTGCGAACGAATTTTCATTTTTTTATGTGCCGACTGCCCTTTTAACGTTCCTGTAGCGTGAACGAGAGGAAAATACAGCAGCAGCAGCAGCAGCGATAGGCATGAATTTTGCGAATAAAACAGAACAAAGATTTAATCATTTGCATTTGAATTGGAAAATTAATTGACGATTTAAGTTGAGAAACTCGATAGTTAAAGGCGAACAAAAAGATAACAATTGAATCCAAAAAGTGTGATTCTGTGTCCATGTGAATGGATTGTTTTTTTTTCGGTGTTCAACATTGAAACATTGAGTGTGGACTTGTTTCCAAGAGAATTTCCGTTAATTGCGATTGCAAAACGTTGAATTGTGCTTGTTCAAAAAGAGATGAAATGAAAATTTTTTTTTTTATCAAATGTGCAAAATAGCGACAGAAAAAAGCTTATAAATACATCCAGGTGTTTAATTGGATATTGTGTAAATGAATTGATGACAAAATACCCCGTTGTCGATTGATTTTTTTCGCAAGTGAAGCAAATTGTGAATGATAACGAATATCAGATTGATAGCAAAAACAAGCGAAGAAAAAAGTAACGCTGAAAAATAAAATCAAGAGAAAGAGAGTGAAAAATCGATTAAACAGTTAACAGCATTTGTTATTTTGCCATTTCTGTTGAATGAAAAATAAAATATCGAAGCCGGAACAAACCGGATTCGCACATATTCCAATCGAAAGTGAGTTGAGAATAAACAAAGTCTACACGAAGAGACATAAAACTGAAAACGTACGTATATTTTGTCAATTAAACTCATGCAATTTTGTATCGGAATCATTTTGTAAATATTTATATTTTGTTTCGTCGGTCGTCGGTCGTCGGTCGTCGGTCGTCGGTCGTCGTTGGTTAAGTGTTGGTATCGTTTTTGATTAGTCTCACAGTTTAGTATTCCCCATTGAAAACATGCCGATATAAGTGAATCATGGCTTGTTGAATGTTTAACGAGAAAAGTCGATAAACTGTGTGTAGTATGCTATATCGCAACACCTTTTGGGAGTTCAAAAGTTTTATGCTTACAAAAATATATTGACTTCATTTTACTTCTAAGCATTGGCTTTAGGAACGAAACCAAAAATCCTCCGAAAAAATACCTAACGAAGATCATTATTCTTTAAATCTGGAAAATTGAAAGTGTTCGTGTCGAAGTTTGTTTGGTGTTTTACTTCCGGCAATGCATTCCTAGCTCATATGCAAGATAAAATTTCGGAATTTTGCATACGAACGGGAGATAGAGAGAGAGAGTGAGAGTGGAGGAGGGAGTGGGAGAGAGAATAACGAGATATCGGTCGACTCGTTAGAAGTTCGCACTCAAACAAAGAGAAAGAATTTATATGGTAATACGAATGCGTACAGTTCTTTGATGTGTTTTTTTTGTTGTTGTTGCGTACATTTTGGTGTAGCTTTGCGAAGAGAGAGATAAAAATGCGAGTGGCAACGCAATGTGCGTTGCCGAAGCGAAAATAGACGTAAGTGCGGATTCGCTCGCATTTTGTTCAGCTTTTTTTTGCTTCTATCTAACTTTTTGATGGGATATCTTTCATTTTGATAGCAGGCATACAAGCTCAAATTAGCTAGGATTTTTTTTTTGTGTGATCTGAGCGAAGAAGCAAAAAACGCGTACCCAACGAAATTTGAGGCCGAAAATGGTGAAAATATGCCGACAAATATTTGTGTATGTATGGATATTTGTCTGCTTATGCCGAACGGAATGAGAATTTCATTCAATTTTGGTCTCGTTGGCTTCGATCGACCGTGTTGTTCAAAAACAGATGATTGCTGTTGTTGTTGGTGATGGAATCATTTTACTCGACCGTTGATGCTTTTTGGCTTTCATTTATTCACGTATTCTCGCTTTCCTTTTTCTTTCTTTTTTTTTTTTTAAATCAAATAAGAAAATTGAGTTTTTGCCAAACGACACACACACACACACGCCGCTCTGTGGGTATATGTGCCATTCTCTTACCCACTGTACTCAATGTCGCTCGTTTTTTTGAAAGCTTGTCATCATCACAATCATCGGTTTTTGTCTACTTTGTTCGCATCTCTCTGTCATCGTCTCTATTTTGACGGTAATACTGTTCACCCATCGTCATTTTGTCGAACTGGTATTTTACGGAGCATGTGCTCGTTGCTGCTGCTGCTTTTGTCTTGTCGTTGAAATCAGCGTTTCTCATTTTAAAGCACAAAACCTAATGTCATTTGACAATATATAGACAACGACTGACTCCGGAACCAAAACTAGAACGAACGAAAGAACACAAAAAATGTACAATACAATCTTTTCCCGAGCTTTATTTTTATATTCACTGCTATTTGGTGTGCATGTGTGTATGTTTGCGAATGCGAAATTGAAATAAAATTCAATTACATTGTGTGGAGCATTTGCGTGCACATATGTGCGGTGCGAAAGCGCTTTATTTTCCCTGATACTAGTTTTTTTTGTCGTCCCCACCGTCACCCTCACTCTTCTCCGAGCTCTATTTTATCATTTCAGTCCGTATGTGTGCACTAAAGTCCCGTGTCATAGCTCTCTCACTTCATTCAGTTGAGTCAGCATCCGTCGTCATAATTTCAACACCAGCAGCAATAGGAGCAGCAGCAGCACAAATGTGACGATGTATGTTGGCAAGTATTTATGTTGATTACGTGTGAAAAGCCAACGTATTTGCTGTTTTCTTTTTCTCGTGCTCGCTCTCTCTCTCCCACCACAAACCCATCTCACATATAATCATGATGCAAACAGGAATTTTACTTATCTCATTTCTGTTAGCTGCTTCATCGAACAATTTATTTGTGCGTGCTATTCACAACTGCTGTTTCAAATCTAGTTTTCGACTTATTTTCTGTCAGCTTGCGCTAAATGGTTTCGTTCAAACAGACCGATTTTTTTCACTCTCATCGGGAATGAAACAACAGTAAAAGATACCACCGAGCGACATAAATTGAAGTGGATAACTTCTGCTAGATGCTGTTGCAAAACAACCGACTAATTTCAGCGGATGTGTACTTTGATGTGATGCACGTGCAATTCGTTTTAGCCAAACTCAAACCTGACAACATCATGATCAAATGACTTAATTAAATTCGAGTACTACAAAAGCCACGGTGTGGATGTCGAAAGACACACTTGTCAAGCTAAGCTTGGCTTTGATGCGCGTTTTTCTCTCATTTTCCATAATGGCAATGTTGTTTTTTCTCTCTCGCAGAAATTGCATCACCAACTGTGTGAATCGCCTTGTGAATAACGGAATCATTTACATCCACACCGAGCGCGAATAGAAACAAGGGGAAAAAATTGGTGTGTATGCTTCGTTGAAAAGGTTGACGACGAGATGAAAAGCACCGCGCGCGGGCTAATTCTATTATAATTTCAGCTAATTCGCACCAATCGTTGACGGCGCGTTTGCCAAGAGAGAGATTCGTAGGCATGTCAATGATATCATTTGATGAGTTTCTGCCGTGTGTTAATTATAAAAGCAATTATCTAGCGCTTTGCCCGTAAATGAAATTGTAATTCTATTAACGCAACACGGCATCAAAACACTGATGAACAACATATTTCTTGAGCTTTTTGGAGGGCAATATGGTGAATTTATTATACGGGATGAATGGCATGAAAAGGAAAATCACCCATGCACACACACACACGCATACGATCGTTATGGCATAGTGGAAGAGAGTAAAAGCGCACACATTTCTATTGGATTGAACATGGTAAAAGAGAGTGAGAGAGAGATTTATGAATTTTTGCCAAGCATAATAAGATACTTTTGTCGAAAATGAAAAAAACTCAAGAGCTTCAAGTGGCTAAATAGATGTATCGGACCAACTTGGTACATTATACGCATTAATCAAATCTTCCAGCGATGCGAGAGTCAACGTATCTCTCTCTGTGTGAGTTTCGCCGTTTCTCTCTCTTTTTCATAATACAATTCATCTTCTATATTACAGTCTATTCGTTCTAAACAATTGTTTAACAACAGCCATAAAATGAAATGGTGACTTGTGCTAAGAGCACGGCATTTAACATTCCGTTTACCATCCATTTCGCCTGCGTATGAATAACGGAATGCCGAGAGAGATAGAGAGATAGAGAACATTTTGATCGAAAGCCGCCTATAGTATTTGGGAATAAATATTTTTTTTTACGTAGTTTTCAAATGTTTGATGCATCACGAACGAGAAAATATGTTTGTCTAAACAAAGTCATCATATCGTCCACTTATCGCGAATTGTCTCGCATTTTGCCTGCTATTTTCAGCTGTTTTGTCCATTTGATGGCACTGTGTCCACTACGCATCAGCGTGTATATATCCATTCGGTTAATGCTTTTGAATATTTTATAAGAAGACATATTTGGCGTCTGATACAGTTTCAGTCGGCGATGTGATCGTATGCATTAAATTCATCGTCGGCCTTTCCTCTTTTCTCCGATTGCTTTACCATATATTTATAAAGAAAGTGGGCCGTCGAATCACCAAGGCAAACACAGACATCATAAAAGTCGTTTTTCGGTGGCTGCCCCTTTTAAATCGCACATTTTATTTTCGAAAATGTTTCGATTAACTTCGCACCCGACAGCGTTTGTTTACTCACAGCATTTGCGTTCAATTGATACTTTTATTCCGGCAATGCCGTACTTTATCGAAATTAATATTCAATGTTTCATGCTGAAGTTAAGAATGAATAATTAAACGGGCACGTTTCATATTTTGGCTTTGTGTCATTGCACTTACTTTGCGCAAGCGGATTTTCCGCCATTTTTCCCTTGAAAATCATTTTGATTGATGAACATTTTAATTAGTAAGCTCGGCCAATTAGGCCATGCCGACTTTTTCTTCCTTTTCATTTTTACCCCAGAAGTAGAAGAGTAGATGATTCCGACAAATTGACTTAAATGGGAAATGAAAAATTTCGGCCTCTTGTGCTATGTACAATGGGAAAAAAGTTGAGAGTTTACGAAATCTTTTGCAGTGATTAATATGGTGTGCACACAAGCATACTAGAGTGCACAAACAAGGAGCAAGCGAACGAGCGAGCATTCATTGAGCTCCGAACATTGCTCAGTTTCAAAGTCAAATTAGTCAAATCAGCCGTTTTGCCACTCAAACTTGCAGCGCGTGTCTATTTTTCATTGAAGCTAACTAGCATTAAAAGCTGCAATTTTTTTTTCGTCGGTTGTCTCATTCTCTCTCGTGTCGAAATACAACAGCAGAGTGAAAAAAGTTGGCATCTTTTTGTCGCAAGTTTCGGTGAAAATCTCGAAAGAAATTCATCATCATCATCACGCTTCTATTACTGCCGTCGCCACCACCGTTGTTCTCTTGCTACGTCAACCGAATCAAGAGAACGGACAGTGAAATGAACAATGCGAAAATTAAAAATAAGGAAGCAAATCTTGGCGAGCGAGCACAAGTGAGCGCGTGAAAAAAATGACTTTGCCAATGACGGGGAGAAAAAAAAGCCCAGGAAAATTCGCTGTGAAATACGAAAAATAAGAACAATTTGACTTTAATGAGCATACAGCTTGAGGTGACGGCCAAAGAATGCTATTCAGCTCCAGAGAGCACCAAATGCCATACGCATTTTCTGCTTTTTATCGTATGCAATTACGTCGTCACGGCAACTTTTCAATTGTGTGCTTCGCCGTCGTTTTTTTTTCTCGCTTTCTCTGCACTTCTTTGCATACCATTTGTTACTGGCGTGCGCTTCGTTTGATCCCATTTTCA